TGGAAAGAAAGGGAGCACATATTTTTGACCGATTTTTCTAGTTTTAGAAAGCACAATTCTGCTTTTGCGTGACTAGTTCTACTAAAAAAAACTTTAAACTATTTAAAGCACTTAGTAAATGGTTGGGAAACTAAATTTATGTGAAAAAACATTTAATCATTATGGATTAACAAGTTACCACATAAAAACACTTTCTTTAGGCTTGTATTTAATTTTAAAGAGAAAATGAGAAAGAATTTAGTGATAAAATTCTAAAGAATAAACAAATTTTATGACGAAAAAATAATAGGGACTTAAATAATAGGGACCAAGTAAATTTAATACGTGATATGAAGCCAAATATTACAGGTAGATAAGATACAGATTTGTTTGTTATTCGGCTTCGTATTACCTCTTAGTCTATCTATTAATTATACTGAATGTATTCAAAATAAGTAGCTATTCAGAGCTGTCGTATTAAAAATAACAAAACCTATCTGAGCACTACTCATATGCACAGAGAGTATTTGTCAATTAAAAAGGTGTTTAAATAACAAAAATAACAAAACCTATCTGAGCACTACTCATATGCACAGAGAGTATTTGTCAATTAAAAAGGTGTTTAAAGGTATTTTTAAAATAATTAAAGTACTATTTTACTCGTGCAATGCTAAAGTTACATAGAAAAGTAAAGAAAGTACAGGCTTGGGCGGTTGAATACTCCTTTATATGGCATATTTGAAACATACATAGCTAAGCTGTCATACTCCGCACAAGCGGTATTTCATAATTATTAGCTCTCTTTCCACGTATTACATATTATATAACAGACGAGAAGACGTGGCGGCTGAGACGTCAGAATAGCGAAGATAATCTTATTGTTCTCAGTAGAAGGACACAGAATAGGTTTGTTGCTGATGGTTTAATTAAAGTTACGATTTAATTACCGACTGGATAAAGGATTTTACTTTGTCTTTATGTAAATACGTGCTTCATTAGTGTTATAAGAATCTAGTAACGGGAGTTCGTTTTTAAATGACACCCTTCAGGAATATTTATTATTAGCACAAAACTGTTTTTAGGGTAGAAATGGAAACTAACGAGAAGAAAAAGGAGAATTAAAATGTTATTCCAAATTACAGTTTATTTTTAGTCGAAAGGGGCTTTGATCCTGAGGGACTATTGTTTTCGTTTTGCGATTTTGCATCGAATCACTCTGAATGTCCGTTTCACTTTTTAAACTGTTGCCACCAAATGTTATCGCCCTGTATTATATTTGAAGAAATTAAGTAATTAAGAATCTGCATAAATGTATGTTTCTCTCAATGTGATAAAACAACGGTACCTAGAGCCATCCAATTTTGAATGACGTAATCCTACTGCGAATATGGACATCTGGAAGCCCAAATTTGAAATTTGAAATTTGTTTTATTATCGATTTGATAGTTTGTAAAACCTTAACAAATTTTTTATTAACAAACTCAAGGATTTCAAAGCTAGTAATGACAACGTTGTACAGAAAAAACATTTTTCTCTCCAGCGCGTGAGACTGCGTATCGGAAATTCTAAAGATATGCTCGATTTAAAATTATTTTGAGATATTGCTCTTGAACTGAATTTTATGGTTTAAGTGCGAAGAACATGATATTTAATAAATAAAGATAACACACAACATATTAAAAAAACGCCCCTTTGGACGTAATTTAAAATAATATTACCAGAAGTTTATTAAACTGTTTCGAAAAAGGAACGGAAAAAATATAGCATTATAATAAAAACATTATTTAGTTCTTAAAATAATCTTGAAAGTGTGAAATGACAAAAATAAAACTTACAACTTATACTATGGTAATTAACCAGTTATTATGATTTTGATCTTTTCTATAAATTCTCCTTCCGTATTCTTCACCAAAATGCAAAATATCTTTGACTCTAAGCTGAGGGGTTTTGAATCTTAGGAGGAGAGAGTTTGTGGGACTCGCGTTTGCTGATAGTTTTTGGAAGCTCTATTCCAGTTCTGAACATTCTCGCTAGGTCGAAACTTACGCGTCGGTAAAACAACTCAGCCAGCTTATTTCTTATTCTATTGAATGAGAAGTCTTAGTCTACGTTATTATCTGCTGTTGCTTAAAGCAGGTATGTCAAACTAGGTATCTCAAGTGAGCCAAATAGTCATCAGCGTACAATACTGCGGGCCGTGAGAAAAAATAGCCATTTAATGCTTAATGATGCATTTGAAAAAGTGAATAAATACAGAAAGACTTACTGAATACTGTAGTTCTTTAAAATAAAGAAGGAGCATGAGGAAATTGAGAGGTATGGATCGTTTCTTTTCCGACATATGGCGTCTTGTTTTTCCTGCAACCAGTTTCGGATGTCTAAGGAAATTAATTCAGGTTTTGCTGTGAACATGTTCTTTTCAATAACTGAGAACAGTTGTTTACACTAGTATGTACTGCCGAACATAGATATCAGGCACCTGGGCGTACTCAATTCACTGACTGTTTACTTTAGAATTGAGTCACTCTAAATTTTTATGTAATTCCATCTGTAAATGGGCTACCACTTTCTCAACGTCAGTGGAAAAAGGGCTGAAAACAGAGAGAGAGTTCATCTTCGATACATCTGACATCACAGAATCTTTCTTCGAATTCAGTCTTTAAATGCTGAAGCTTTTCGGCACATGTTTTGTACAAAACCGGCTTCCTTGAACTTTTTTTGTACTTAAAACAAGTTGGGAAGGGTGTCAAGCCTTCGTTTTTTAACTGTTTCTTCCAGAACAGTACCTTATGCTCTAATGTTTGTATCTGACCCGTCATTGTTCGTAATGATTACATATTATATAGTTTGGAATAGAAATCTGACAAATATTTCATAATACAACCGTAAAATAAAGATCTTGTACCCGTAACAGAAAAGGGTCCGTCAGTAAGCTGGTATTTTCTTTTTCCAGAGGAATTCAAACGCAACCTGCGAGCTGGGAGTTTGACATGCCAAGGTTAATGCAAGCAGCCGATAGCGATGGGTCATCTGTAGCATAAGTTGTGTCCTTATGTTCAATTTTTTACTAAAATAAAAAAGTTTATTTTAAAACCTCTCCTGTATTTGTGAGTTGTTGAGACGTAGCAATAACTCGCTATTAGTCAAGTAGGGTCTGCAAGACATTAAACTTTAATTTCCAGATAATAGAATAGCAACCCTACATATTATATATATAATTTACAAATACTGCGATTTAAATAGCCACTCGGAGTTAGCTACTTCAGACAGTCTGACTCTTATGTTAGTGGGACTGAGTTTGAAGCCCGCAGAGGGAGTGGGTATTTGGGGTATATCCTCTACCCATGTTAATACGGGTCTGATATCCGAGCTCTTCCTTGGTGCACGCAGACAGTGGTCTCGATGACGAAACTGTAAATGATCAATAGATTTGATCATCGTCCGGTGAATGTCGTGGTCCTTAAACGCCCGATTGTTGGACAACAAAATCTTTGCATTTACTAAGCTCATTCTCAATGCGAATGTTAAAAGTTAACTTTCATTTTAACTCGATTCCGAAACTGATATCTAATTTTCTAATCGAAATATCGAATCGAGTTTTTAATATAATCTAAAATAATTTCTAATATATATCGAAAATAATGTTTTTGCCTGCTTATCAAACCATGCATTTCTCTATAGATATAGATTAAACACTATTACTGAAATGTGTTGGATACTGTTGATTGAAGCGGTCACGATAAAGAACAGAGAAGTTGATGCTGCATGTAAATACTACGGTGAGAAAGAGGTATAAGATTTAGAGCTTGTAAAGAACTTTGAATTTATATATTATCTTTTCTGTGTTTGATACTTTAGAATTATGTAAAAAGCCAATTTTTTAAAATTACAATGTATTTCATAACAAAGAACATAAATTAAAAAATTATGAAATTTAAGAATTGCAGTCCCATTTCGTTTTTAATACTTCTTGTATATCAACGTTTACTTCTGAAACACCTGAGAAGTTTCTAAAGAAGGAATGCAGAAAATAAATAAATAAAAATATAAATAAATAAATAAATAAAAATAAAATATTATTATCAAGCATTAACTCTAATGACGTGGTATGGAACAAAAGCAGAAAGAAATTCTACAGGAAATTTAACGATTATATATTTTGAAATAAAAGCTATCTATCGTCAGAGTTGTATTAAACTTAAGAGAAAACGATATATAATCACATAATACTTTTTATATAAATATATATATATATAAGATGTCCTTTCAGGCTTTCATTGATTAGATAAACGAAGTACTTTATGCTGCGTATCATAGGAAATCACATGCGTCTTTTAATTACACACAGTAATATATCCTTCTTGTTTATCGCAGTCTTTTAATTACACACAATAATATATCCTGCTTGTTTATCACTTGTCAATGTTTATAATTCTACGATGACAAATACAACCAATGTAGATGTACCTTATAATGAAAAGAATTTATTTCAGCTTGAAGCCAAGATGATAATGTGATAAGTAACACATTATCATCTTGGCTCAGATAACGGATAAATATTATCAGATCATCTTAGAAAAGATAATATTTATCCGTTAATTGGATTAATGAATGCAAACCGCAAAATATTAACTAAAGAGATACCATCAAAATCTGCAATTTATTAGTAAAATTTAATAAAGAATATCAATACTAAAGGTAAGAATTGGGTAGTGAGAACGTTGATATATTTTCTCGGATTACGGGTTTATTCAAAAAAAGCCATATGTTGAAATAGCGTTATGTGAATTGTATGTAGTAAGAGTAATTAATATTAGAACTCAGTAGCTGATTTTTCAAGAACAGTAATTCTGAAGGTAGAATAAAAAATTATAAATTTCGTGCGACGATGATTCATTTGGTTTGATTAAAGTTTTGGTATTTATTAAATTAGTAAATCAAAAATCGAAATAACATTTTCCAAACTGTATCAAATAAATGCAATTTCGATTAGAACATTACAATTGGTTCATTGCACTTACCTGGTGCGTGCTCGTCCTTGGTCATGCTTTTCCGTATTTGCTTCGGATAACTTTTGATGTGTATTGATATTCGTCCATGCTTTCACTGGTAAGGCAGACGAAACGTTGCGTTCTAGTAGCCATATGAGAATCGATAGCTGGAGCTGTGTACTTCGTTGCTTAGGCAACCTCTTAGAAAATGGCACGCAATTTCGAATGACTAGAATTTTTTGGAAATGGCATTTCTAAATGGGTCGGAAAAGAGCCATATAAAGCAGGTGGTGTAATTTCTTATGTAGAGATTAAAATAGGGCTGATTCTTTCCCAAGGAAGTCGAATAAATTTATATTTATGGATATTTATGAACGCATACGAAGTTAAGTTTGAAAGTATGCTGAAATTTTATTGCGCGTTTTAAACTGATAGAACATTATATCTTAATATTTACATTATTAATAGATGGATTATAAAATACCAAGCTTTTGTCATTTCTGAATTTCCTATTCTTAGTTTCTTATAAACTTCATGTAACAAATTTAAGCAACTATAGATTCTTGAAGAAGTAAAATTAAAAAAAAAAAAATCTTTGTATGGAATTTATAAATTACTGTTCTGTTTATATTCCCACAAGTTTAAAGAAAACTATTTGTCAATATTTTTAAATGTCTCTCGGATCTACGATAAAATTGTAAGGTGAATATGCCAATAGGGACTATGGATTCAGTGGCGGACTAGAAATATCTTAAGACAAGACCTGAAGGCTTTCTGAGCTTCTCAAACTAACAGCTTTTTATGTATTTACGAATGATAAAGTGCTCTTACTGTATATTTAAGAAGCTTAGAGTAATCCTTTAATTCGTAGCTTTAACCGTATCAAGTCAGTGTACATTCAGAGTTCTCTAACAGTATATGAACTTGACAATTTCATTCGGGATTCAGTATCTCGGATAGATAAAGCTGTCTGCAAAGACAAAATTTCATTAGAATATGGTGTATATACAAATAAGTGTTTTTAGCTTAAAGCTAACCGAACGAAATAGGTTACTGCGAGGATCGTAAAATCTAGTTCAACGACAATGTGACATCCCATTAAGTGAGATTTTCAGGTTGCACTGGAGGTTTCCAAAAACTTCCCCTTTTTTTATTAAAGCTTCTCCAATATAAGAAAGTATTTGGTAATTGCAAATATATCTAATTTTTGAACATGCACATATATTTAAGATAAAATTCTAACTTTGATTTGTAATAGCTATCAAGTGTGCTTTTTAACATGGTTATTTCGTCCTTCTGTCCTTTAAGTACGCTTGCAATAAATTATGTGTTTATACTAAATTTTTGAAAATAATACATCTTAAAATGCTTATAATAAATCATTCTGAAGGGTACATTCTGGGTTAAGTAACCATTTCCCCCAAAATGGCGTTTCGACCGATTTTCCTTTCCCCTTGCCATCTGCAGAGGAGTGACCTTTCCTCAAGCTTCTCCACTGTTCTCCTAATTTTAGCCCCATGTGCCAGATAGGGGCACGAGAGAAAAGTGTTCCCTCTCTTCGTGTACTCTTTCATTCCTTATATCTTTAAACTCTAACTCCTAGCTCTATTTTCAGATTACTAGCTTATATTGATATCTACAATTAATAGCAAATTACTTTTTTAATGAATTTCGATTAATGTTTGTTAAAGCGTCTTTCTCAGCTTCTTTCCTTTTTTCATGTGTGTCATATTTTGGAAACTATAGGACTGAAAACACCAATAGATATAAAACTAGAATTAGAAAACTGACAATATCAATTCCAATTCTGAATTTTCCCGGCCTTTCATGTTCCTTCTTTGAAACAGGAATAATTTTTTCCCAGTTACTGACTTTTCCTTTATTCTTCTTCTAAGGGTAAAAACGGCAAGAGGAGGATTTCATTGCCGTTAAAGTAACTAACATCAGGGTATAAATGAGTTAAACAACCATCACAAATCCCTAATTTATTTCGTAAAGTCATAAAAGTACTTTAAATAGGCAGGTTGCTATTAAATAACTTAAAGTTTTAGAGTATCGAATATTTTTATTTAGTAATAATCATATAAATACATAATAATGCTATAAAATACCTTTATTTAAGATAAATTGTTATGCAGAATATTTTATGCAAAAATCTAACATAACTCACCAAAAATATGCAGTACGCTGGTTCTGTTTCTCTGCTTGTGTAGCCTGCTGTTTCTTTTCAGCACTTATTTGAAATGCTACTAATACGTGAACGCAATCTTACAATTGATGAATAATGGGCGCGCCTCTTGCGCTAGTTTAGATAAATTTGTTTACTTCGCTAATGCTATGCCACAAATAAAGAGTAGTGTCAACCAGCCCTGACTACTTCTTCTTTGCAATTATCTAGCTATCATTATCATCTTCTTTGCCAAACCCAAAATTTTATTACCTATATACACATATACATTATATGATGAACATTTTAAAGGATACCGTAGATAATGATGATGATAATTGATGATTGCAAAGAAGATAAGTTGAGACACAATAACACGCCGAATAAATACTAATTCAGAAGTCAAACAACAAAAATCAGCGTTATATTTTCAATATATATATCATTTGCGGTTTTGCAGCTGAGGATGGTGGTTCGGTAAAACCATCGAAACTAGTCCTGTGAAAATTTTGAAAATATAACGCTGATTTTTGTTGTTTGACTTCTGAAGATAAGTTATGGTCAGCTGATACACTTCCATATTCTTGGCATAACATGCTTAAAACACACACCGCTGAATCGGCGAAGGACATGAGCCCGCTATTTCATAATTATAAACGTACTTGAACATATTCATACATTAGCATTACAAGTGGTAATGAAGTAAAGCGGAGGACAAATTCTGCTGAGGTAAACGCGAGATTATGCTATTGATATTTGACTAACAATGGTCTAGTTCTGGATAAGCTTACTTTCGCAATTATATATGTACATGTTTCTTTAATGTTATATACCATTTGAAAAGTATTAATTTTAAAAGAACCCACTTCAGGAAAATTTATTATATGCATACATTTTTGTTTCTACAAAACAAACTAAAATTTAAATCAAGATTAGAAAACCAAATTTAAAAAAGAGGCTTAAGGTGCTATTATAAATTAAAGTTAAAATTTTATCTTATATATAAAGTTTTGTGTTAATTAACCTAGATATCTTATTACTTCGGCTTTACTTTCAGTTTACTTTCATCATCTCCCATCGGAATGCAAATTAAAATATAAATAAACGCAGAGTTTTCGAATTTAGACAGAGAGCGCTTGGCAGCATAGGCTGAAAGATACTCCCCTCGGATTATTTACTGTCTGAATATTTCTTATCGGCTTAAGCTTCCGCCATTCGTTTTTGCTTCGTAAACAACTAGAATTGAGCAAAACTTTAGTAAGATGCATTGATTTTATACTTCGCATTCAGTTTAATTTGAACGTGTGTTCTGAATTATCTGCTAGAGGCGGAGTTCTTTTTAAACTCCGTTAAACTTTTGAGATTGTGTACTTTGTCTAATTTCAGATTAAAGTGTCAACAAACAGATTTCATTTTAAACCTTTACTTTGAATTGTGATAGTTATAGTTAAGAGGCAGACGGGATGACAATCTTTAAGGTTTCTTGAAGTGATTTTGGTAATTTAAAGTAATAGAATAACCAATTAGATGTGTACACTTAAATAATTCAAATGAATGACAAATTAAGTTCATAACCAAAATCCAAATTATGCGCTGTAAGCTGCATTAGTTCAGTGGCAATATTTATTAAATTCAAATGCAAACTAAGCAAATTCAAATATATTGGATTCTGGAATAATGAGTAGGCACATAAAAATTTTTCAAACACAGAAAACTACTGTAAAAAATAAACCAGAAAATGAGAGCTTTTCCAAAATTATCAGGGATTGGGATTATTCAGTTATGGCAAAGCACACGAGGGCTGTCTCGCCTAAAGGGAGGGATGCCTTGGTGGAGGACTTTCTAAGGGACATTGGCTCGTATACACGTTACACATGGGGAAAACCAAGAAAACGCCCTTGCGGCCAGCCCGTTCGCGGGATTCGAACCTCGGACCGAACTACCAGTGTTCAGCGTCTTTACCGCTCGGCCTCTGGTGGGCCCAAGATTATCAGGTAAATCCTAATTATTATAGGTTCAAATTATTGAAACACGAAGTAAGATATTTAAGACAGCTGAACAAAACCAAATTTCATACTAAAATTACCAGGTAAATGCAAAAAGAGTGCCCAAGTAACACCACCAATAATAATAATAATTTTAATAGAAGGGAAATGGATTTTACATCTCCCGGTACATTTTCGTCAGAGGAGTGCTGTATCAAAAAACGTAAAAGATAAAGTCTGTAAAATCAGGAAACATGAAAGATAAACGGCTTAAGTTAAGTTAATTTTTGAATTTCGAAAGCGGTTTCATTCGCTGGAAAATAATTTAAACAGACGCTAAGGGTATTTTCTGGATTTGTTAAGCAATAAAATTAATATGCATGCTATTATTGTTAAAGGCTCAAAATATGTGTTTATTTCGTGATGATAATCTTGGATGTTATTGCCACTTTCACTATTTCTTATAGTCTAAACAATGATACTAGTTTTGGTGAAAAGTTTTGAAATATGATTACAGTTAAGATAATATAAAGTTTTTAATTGAAAACTCTTTTAATTAATAAAAAATGTGGTGTTATTATTATTTTTAATACTGATATTAAGATAAACCATGTTATTTTTACAGGCGTTAGTTTTGTTTAATTTAAAGAATATATGTTTATATGCGGTACATATGAATGATACATATCATTGTTTATGTTTTGTTCTCGAAGTAAAACAGAGAAGAAAAGTTTTCAGTATATTTTCATCAACTGTTCTGCATCTTTTGGACAAAATAAAATTAAAATCTCCATATGTAGATTTTGAACATATTTTTATTCAAAAACATTGAATAAAGCTGTTTCGCATTACATTCCAAACTATTTAGATCAAACGTAAGTTAAAAGAATATTTTTGGTAACACAATTAATAAAAGTTGAGTTCTAAAATAGCAGCGAAATTATAAAAAATGTACACAACGTATAAATTTATAAACATGGGTCGTGTGTTGGGCAAGCCATAGAAT